GAGATAAAAATATCTCACTCTAAAGATGTGATGGAATTATCTTGCTAGTCATGTGTATATGCATGTGCTCACTTGTCGCATACATGACATAAGATTTATACAATCTCGATCACTGTTAGTAAACACCGGATAAGGTTGGTTAAGAAATATTATGATAAAAATAATTTGTTGAAAATAATAAAATTATTTATCAATTAAATAAATTTATTCAAAAAATTATTATATGAAATAATTAGAAAAATTATTATAATATAAGACGAGTAAGTCGTATAAATAAATGACATCATTTTAAATAAAATAATAATAATTTTTTTTTTAAAAAAGATTTTAAATTTTAAACAAAAACTTCCTTTTCTTTTTATAAATTTTATTATAGATTTTTTAACTACCCATAGTACACGGGTGTTATGTACTAATTGTAAATTTGTTGAAACATTTTATATAATAATATAATAAAGAAAATATTATTATGTAAGAATATAACAGCAAAACACAAAATTGTAATAAAATGAATAATATGTAAAAAATATATACATAAAAGCAAAATATATAATGATAGTAAACATAAAAATTAAAGACTAGATTGCAATCTATATATATATAAAGAGGTTGTTGGAGAAATACATTAATAGAAAGTTTGACCAAATAAATATAATGTTTGACTTACTATTAATGGAAAGTTAAAAAAAAACACATGTGAATCTTTAGTAATAAAATCTAAATCCTATTTTTTTGGTAATAAATTTGGAGATTTTTATGGCAAAGCAATTCTAAATACAAATTAATTTGAAAACCGTGCAAACTGAATACAAATTTAGGAAACAAATATTGTATAATTCTTAACCAATTCTTTCAATCTTATTGAATAATTTTTTCTTTCAAAAAAATTGTGTAAATTGAATAAAGCCACGTGCAATTCTTATTTTAAAATAAAACTGAAATTTAGACGGATGTACATTCAAAATAGTGTTCGCATTTTTTGGTAACAAAAGCGGTTCATCATCGATATTTAAAGTCACCTTATCCAATTACTTAGGAAAAATTGTGTGCAACTTTTCAAATTTTAAATGCATCGATTTTTTTGGATTCTTATGTTTTTTCTTAACCATGTTTTACCGAGATTTTGGTAAGTTCATATCATTTTTTTTTTTTGGTTAAGTTCATATCATTTTCTTTAGGAAAGAGACAGTTGCATAAACATCAATAATTTATATCAATTTTTTATTAGAATTATTTTCAATTCAATTTGTTTGGTACAAAAATCGGTGCAGTATTAGGAAACTTCGGTTGCATTTTTACGAAAAAATGATGATTTTTTTATTTGGTTTAAAAAAATTCGGATCAATTTGTTTGATAAAAAAATCATTTTATTGGTAGAAAAATCGGTTTCATTTCCAGGAGTAACTAATGATTCTTTTCAATTTTTCTTAATTGAAATTTAGAATTAGATTTTAAAATAAATAATGGGTAAAAATTCTTAAAAAATTCTACTTTTTTTTCTACTTTAATTTTTTTAATAAATAAGATCCTTTAATTTTTTTAAAACTTGTTAACTAATAACTAATAATATATAATTTTGGATAAATTCAAATACCTATGTAATACTTTACGTGCCAAAGAATCAAATCAATAATATTGTCCATAAGGAAGTGTTTAATAACATATAAATTTCATTTTCATGAAATTTTTAATGGCATGAGACAATTTAAATACAAAAATACCTTTTAAAAAATAAATACGTAATAAATGCTCCCGTGCATCGCACGGGTACTGTACTAGTAAAAAATAAAAATGGGTTAGCATATAAAAACGAAAACTGCCCTTCGGCAACCGTTCCATTCGAGGACAAATTCCTTCATTTTTGCGCTTTGTTGGAGACGATCTCACCCGACTCCTGAGAGATATCATCACGGTTTACTATAGTTTGACCCGGGAAAAAAAAAAGGAAAAAAGGAAATGTAAGAAAACAAACCACCTTCATTCAAGCTCGCCTTCATCCACATACTGAGACAAATAACAACTACAACTCGACCCAAGTCTTTTTACCAACTACAAATTCGAGCCATAGCCTCAAATACAGGTGCTAACGAAAAAGGAAAAAAAGAACAATCAAAACACCAGTACTGCTTTACACGCATGGCTGAGATACCGGGCAAAATTAGCCACTCCACTAATCACACTACTACCAGCACAACCCCTTCCAACTCATAACAGTATTTTAAATTAAAAAGCAGAAAAAAGGGAAAAACAGAAACTTACACACAACCTCAATTCTGCCAGCACACGCTCCTCCTCCCTTCTTGCAGGATCTCAAATGCAAGCTTATACCTCTCAAACGACCCCGACCCCGCCTCCACAAAGCTCCGCGCTTCCTCCCTCAAACTCCATGCCATAAGCGCCTTCAAGTCCTGGGCCCCACTCCCCGACTCGACATCCCTCAGCAGCCCACTCCTCGCATTCTTCGTCCACCTGTGCAGCACATACCTTGACGGGAGCTCCCTCACGTTCATGATCTGGAACACCTTGAGCGCGTGCCTGCACAGCACGCCCTCGAACTCGAACATCTTACAACTACAGCTCACGTTCAAATTGGACGCGTTAAAAGCGACCGTGTTCCTCTCGTCCCCATTCCCACACTTTTGGACGAGATACCGGTTGATTGCCCCTTCCATGTTTATTTTGATCCCGACATAGCTGTAGCACTCGAGCAGCTCCTTCTGGAAGACCTTGAACAAGTTAATCGTGTATAGCCTCCTGCACTGTTCCTCAATCGGGTCCTTGGTGTGCAAGACCGCCTGCAGATTGAACGAGTTGAAATCCTCTTTCCTCTCCTCCTCGCGCCTCTGCTCGAGGGCCTTTTCGTAACGGGCCACAAACTCGTTGGGCGGCGTTTGCGGCGTCAGAATCGTGCCGAAGTACGATTTCAGGCTCCCGTCAACTGGTATTCCCGCGAAGAACGTGCCCTTGACGTGCAGCGGGACCCAGCACTTGCGCATACGGTACATCTCCTTGAACCACGAATTCTCCCGCAGGCCGTACTTGCTCCCGAGCACGTTCCAAGCAGAGTCGAACTCGTTGGCCGTCTGGCTCTGGAAGACACACGCCTCGTACTCGTACTTGAACTCGGGATCCATGGTCATGAGGGCGCCCAGGTTCTCGCGCTCCATGTCGAGTATCTGCCATGCGGAGAATCGGTGGTGGGACCCGGGGAAAACCCGGGAGATCGAATTCTGGAGCGCGTGGTCCATGTCAGCTATGATGGACGTGGGCTGGTGTCCGGACATGGCCCGCAGCCAGGCCCGGAAGATCCACGTGAACGACTCCTCGGTCTCGTCGGCCACTAACGCGCAGCCGAGCAGCACGGGCTGCCTGTGATGGTTTACCCCGACGAAACTCGCGAAAGGCGCCGAGTAATTTCCCCTTCTGTACGTTGTGTCGAAAACGACGGCGTCTCCGAACTGGGCGCACGAGAATCTCGACCGGGAGTCGGCCCAAAAGACGCTCATGCCCTTGCCGTCACGCGTCTCGACCGCGTAGAAGAATCCGGTGTCCTCCGCCTGCCGGGACTGGAAGTAGTCGAGCAGCAGACTGTACCAGTCGCCGGTGACTATGCTTTCGCGTACTCGCTTGACGAGGCTGAGTCCGCCGTTAGTCTCTACAAGGTCCAAATTCTCCAAAGTCTCGCTTTTGGGGTTGGCGTCGGCAGGCGCGTCGAGCTCGTGGTTGTGTTCTTTCTCGAGACGGTCGACCACCCACCGACCCGAATCCTGCCTCTGTATCCTCATGTAGGCCCCGCAACCGACTCTGGACGGGTGCTGGTGGCCTTCCTTGGAACACACGAACCTTCGCGATGTGATGGAGCCGTCGTGCTTGGAGCGGAACAGCTGGCCGATTCGGACTCGGAAACCCGCGTGGGCGGCGTACGAGTGGTAGAATTTGTAGGCCTCGTTGGCGGTGTTGAACTCGAGCCCCTTCTGGGGTTCTCCCCCTGTGGTGGGCCCCACCGTTATTGAATCGGTTTCTTCTCTCTTGAGACGCTTCATGTCGATTACGCCGGAGGGGCTGTCTTCCTCGTGGGACCTGATGCCGGTACGGCTGGCGCCTCCGGAGGACGACCGAGGAGTCGGGAAGGTTTTTATTTTCGTCTGTATTATCTTCTTGGGCTGGCGGATTTCGGCCAAGGGCTCGAATTCGTGGTTGTGTTCGTTTTTCACGTTGGCGATGACCCATTTGCCGGAGGAGTCAACTTTCTGCACTCTTATGAACGCGGGGCAGCCGGTTCGTGAGTTTGTTTGGAAGCCTTCCTTTGAGCAGACGAATCGGCGGGAGATGACGGAGCCGTCGACTCGTGATCGGTAGAGTTGGCCGATTCTGATTTTGAAACCGGCGTGGGTCGCGTAGGCGCTATAGAAGTCCTGAGCGTCCTCGGCTGAGTCGAACTCAAGCCCAACGTGGGGCTCTGTCTTGGGTTGCCCATCGTTATCGTTATCATCATCATCATCACGGTGGCAGTTGTTTTTGGCGACACCCAGAGGCGGTGGTCTTGTCCTTACGGTCATGATGTTGCCAAATTCTTCCCTATTCATACCAATATCTGCAGTCATGATTCAAAGAAACAAAATAAGAAAAAAAAAATTAAAGAGGAAACGAAGAGCAGTTTGTGTATACAAAGAATGTAAAAAAGGCGTGGGC